GAAACAATTATTAAAAACTTCTAAATCATCCATACATCCATTCAAACCAATTCACAATTAAAGCTAATGAGAAATCCTATTACATGGCTAGGGTTTCATCAAAACTCTAGAAAAGACGACTAGCCACTCATGGAAGAGTGGAAAGAGAAAGAAGATGAGGAAGAAACCCTCATGGAAGTGTTCTTCAAGCTTTGGTTGAATATCACCTCTATGGAACCCTAGCCTCCCTCTATTCTGAAATAATTTTTGAACCCTCATTTTGGCTATTTTTCTGTCTTTTATTTGGAGCAAAACAGACCAAAAATTTCGTGCACGCGTCCCTAGGTGGGCCGCACGAGCGGTGGTGGGCTGCACGTGTGGTTAAGCTTGGATGCACGTGCGGTGGTCTGGCTGGCTCTGATTCTTCACCTCTCGCTCGGAGGATCTGCTTTCGTGCCCTTTTTGATTGAATTTTCATATTTTTTGCCAAATCTGTACAAGTGCATGAAACACATCATCTCCACCAAATAAATAAAATTAAAAGACTAAAAATGTAACCTTAGTGGCCTCAGTGTGGTACCTTTCGGCCTGCGTCAATTTTACACACAAAAAAACATTTGTGTTTTTTTTTTGGTATTTGATTGATACTTGAAACCAAAAAAAAAAAAATTATCACTTAAAAGAAAATTTTTGATTCAATAAAGTGTTATTTATGACTTTTTAGTGAAGCTAATATATTTTATTTGAAAAGACTAAATATGTTTTAAAGGTAGTGAGTGAGAGTCAACTTTGTAAAAATTGACTTACGAAATTTTTAAAATCATTTTTGGAAAAATGAGGCAAAAATATTTTTCTTGAAAAATGTTTTACTTGTTTTTTGTTCAACCAAATAACGAAAAATGAGTTAAAGTTAAAACAAATGGAGCCTTACTGTAACTGATTTTTTTTTTTTTTTTGCAATTTATTTATTTTATTTCAAACTATAAAATGTCATAATTTTAATTGTAGATCTTTTCTTTCCACAAAAGTTACAGTTTTGGAATCTACTTGTTGAGATTTATCAAACATTATCAATATTGGCTATGAAATTATGTTAAAAAAAGTAGAAATTTCACAATTTTTGTGTGGAATTGAGAAATTCTGTAATTTTTGTATAATTGAAAAAATTAGCAGTTTTTATGTGCTACCCTATATTTTGCTCAAAGATCTTGCTCTCTCTCTAGAAATTCATTTCCCATTCTGAAAAAAGAGAAGTTTATTCCAATACATGTGAACGAAGTCACACTTTTAAGCGGTTATAAGTACAGAAGAGCTCATGAAATACAAGGACTTTGCATTACATATAATAATGTCTCTTCTATTAACTTCATGGAACTGTGTAACCTGCAACATAGAAAACAAAGTACAAGGAAAGGGGGTTAGAAACTTAGCTGTGTCTCTCTTAGCTGTTTGACTACTTGTGTTCATTATCAGAGTGAGAAAAACCAATTTATTAATGAATATAAAAGAAAAATAGAGCAAGATATATCAATAAAGGAGAAAAACACAAGAAGCATCAAAGCGAAACCAACCCATTCCAACTAAGTTGGCACGAGACGACATGCCACATTCAAAATTTTGGAGATGCGACTGCCACCATGAGATCCATCACTAAACTAGAGAACTAATTAAGAAACATGTACCAACTTAATTGCGAGATGTTTTGTGAATAATGATGCTCTTTATCTAGGCCTTTGTGTTTATTAATGTAATCTAGTTGTACTCCTTATCTCCTCATCCTCCGCTTTATATCAATCGAATTATTAAAAAAAAAAATTTGTCCAAAAATAAATAAATAAGAAACATAGAAGAAAAAAAGAAAAAAAAGAAAAATGAATGAGAAGAAGTAAATGAAGTAAAGGATAGATGAGAGGGGAAGAGAGGATATAGTGTTTACTTCCACATTTGGAGCCGTGGGCAAGTGGTTTGCCGCAGGACTGAGCAACAAAGACAACTTTCTCCATGCTAATGATCTGTTCAATTTCCTTAGTAATGTACTTGCACACGCATGCTACATCCGCTGTCTTCACTACATCACAGCACTCCTTAGATGGCTCAACCTGAGGCCCTGTCCTGCCTACGTACTTGGGGCATTGTGCCATCAGTCCAGGCAGGTCTCCTTGGCACTGCCCCGACACCACCACTACTCCCCCCTTGTTCCACATTCTCGTCGCAACTACCAACACCATCAAACCCACCACTAAATGCATGTTCATCCCCATCTCTCTCTCTCTCTCTCTCTCTCTCAAGTTGTGTGCTTGCTTGGTAGCTGCAAGCTTCTCTATATATTGATGGCCATAGTGCGTTACGCTTTGGTCCAATGAATTGCATGTGAAATCTATACTTTAACTGTCATCTTGCTCAATGTTCATCCCCTTTATTGTTGCTTTTTGAATGTGGGCTTGCAGTTTCGTGTGTGCACACACAAGAAAACATGATTTGCATTCCTATGTCTAATTAAGCTTTGCCAACTCATGTGAAATCCAAATCAAGTATATTTGATAATTGCAGTCTGTTTATTTAGAGAAAAATTGCTGGTAATTCAAGTTGATGGGTGCGGTAGACATTAGGTCCTAGTTTTGGTTATTGGAAGTTATAAAGACACCCATCAAAGAACGGATTCAAGATTCAAACTTTAGGTGACAAAAACACATATTATTTGGGATAAACTAAAAAAAGTTAAAAAGTCAAAAGTTATTAAAAAAAGTTAAAAAAGTTTTTATTATTCAAGGGTATTTGTCCTTTGAATTCAACTACCAAAAAATTAAAAAGTCAAAAATAGTAAAATTGTCATTTTGATTTTACTACAATATTTTATTACACATCTTTTTTATAAAAAGTTAAAAAATTATCCCAAACATACGTATTTTTTTTTTTACTTTTTTAATTAGAAAGTAAAAAAGTACACTTATATAGTACATCCCAAACAACTAAATTATTTCTCATCTTTTGAAATCATCTTACTAATATTAGTGTAATATACATAATTTTTATAATCTTTTGACATCATCTTACTAATGACTAGATCCATCCTATCGCACTTCCTCATTGATAAGCCCAAACCAACAATTGATCAAAAAAAATATTGAAAATAAAAAAACTCAATTTTAAAATTATTCCTAACTAACAATTGAATTTAACTGAGCTTCCCTCAAGCATCGGCTCAAGGGATTCACCACATGTCTCGTTTCAATAATATGAAGCATACATTTTATAAGATTCTTTGTGCATATTATTCAAACAAAAAATTTGATCAATCCGATAATCATAGCCTATTTAATTTATGATATTTATCACCCAAAAAAAAAAAAAAGATGTCATATTTTTAAAAATACATTTTGTCATCTATTTTTTTTAAAGTAAGTGCAGTAAATTGAATATGTTACAATTATTGAATCGGCCTAATTTTTTTTTTATTTGGTCATTTTTGTAGATGATATATATGAAGGATTCGACAAAATAAATAATTTGAATTATCAAAATTATGAAACCCATAACGAGTTGAATCGAATTGAATTTATACTTTAATCGCAGTTGGAGATTTATTTTAAATTATTAAACTCCATTCATTTTGGACCCAATTGATTGAATTGTTACATGTTAGTAACCATGTAATAGTGTTGTGCTTTTATTATTATTATTTAATTACCATAAAAGAGTTGTTAATATTCATGATGTGTACCATTAAACGAAATATATTTTGTGGTGAGAAAATATTATATTTACTTTTTTCATTAAAGATGTTGAAATGTATTTTTAATTAATATATATATATATATATAGGTGTATATATATAGTTAGATATTTGTTTAGTTAGATATTTGTTTAGGAAATATCTATAAAAGTGACCAAATGAAATTTTTGTCAAACTTTGGGAGTCCTTGCCATGAGAAGAAGAGAAAAAGGGTTCCAATTTTGGTTTTTCATGAGTTTGATCTAGTATATGTCATTTTTGACCCCTAGTGCTTTGGATCAAAACGTAGAGGGCGGAAAAGGCGTCGTTTGGCTAAAAAAAAATAATAATTTTTGTTGCCGAAAAATTTGAAAGCTTCTTGGCTTGTGGTAGAGATTTTTCCTACACTTCTTTATACACTTTTACTTGATTATATGGAGCTTGGAGTTGTATATAATTTAATTAGAATTTTTGAAAAAATTGTGATTTATTTGCTTGAAAGAGAAATTTTGAGAAAAATAAAAAGTTGATGTCCAAATTGCGTTTGTAAGGTTATGAAAGAGCTATGTTTTAAATTTGAACAAAAACGGACTTCGACCCGATTGGTTTTGAAATTTTTACCGGTTTGTGACCAGAAGAGTATTTTTAGGGAAAACAAAGGAATTACATCTAACTTTTGGGGCTTTTGATCAAAATAGGATGTCATAGTTGAATAATGCTTGGAGAATGAGTTTGGAAAGAAAATGATATTTTTTTGGGCATTAGCAATATTATTTTGCTTAATGTATCTGTTGGAATAAAATCAACACGGTTAGAAATGGTTCTTAAGAGGTTACCGGATGTGATTGTGATATGAAAACTAGTGTAGTTGTTCATATTTAATGAGATGTGGAATAAATTGTATTTATCGGAATTTTTAGAATTTAATTGTTCAAATATCTGTTTGGGCTATCGATAGAGGATAGCCATGATTGTTGTAGAAATGCATGAGACTTAGGTAAATTGAATAACATTTCCTCATTTTTTGCATTGGACATTGTATTACATTCATTTCATTGGAAATGTATTTATTTTTTAGAAATGTTTGGAAATGTATCTGTTTGTGAAAAGATGAATACTTGGTGAATCTGGGTGGGGGTGTATAGCCGCGCGGTTAGGTGTCGAGCCTTCCAGTTTACTGGTAAAAATGACAGTGGTAGTGCATTAGGGCCTATTTGCAGACACTCAGCTTGAGATTCACAAAACTTGTATTCATGTATCAAATATGGTTTAAAATGAAAATGTAACAGATATGGTTTAAAATGGAAATGATTTTATATCTGTTGTTGCATCTCAACATTGCATGCTTCATAAAAAGAGAGATAAATTGTTTTATCATGAGCATGGCATGAGCATACTCCTCTTTAGTCTTGTCATGGTCTATATGTTGTGTAGTATATCTCTACTGGTCTGTGGCTCACTGTAGACACTCCATTTTTGACCGACCTTAAGACTCAGACATCACCAACTGAGCGTTCGGTGATGTTGCATATTGTGCTCGTTCTGAGATTTCAGAGTCTCGGCTGCGAGCCTTGCTTCGGGACTTCGGGGCTTTTTTGTGCTTTGCCTCGGTTTATGAACCAGGTCCTGTTTTCTCTGTTTTCTCTTCCCGAAGGGAGGGAGAGGTCTCATACACCATCTCTCAGTGGCCGTAGGCTACGTTTCGTTGTCATAGGCCACTTTTCCCGTTTGGAGGCCAGTTTCCGATTTTCGGAGCCGTCGGTCGTGTGCCTCGGTTCGGGACCGCTTAACTACCTCCGTTTGCTCCGGTTTTTGGCACACACCTTATTTCCTCTCCTTAGAGGGACACTGTGGCTCGGGAGACCACCTTCGTGGTCGTACGCCACCTCCGGTGCCTAACAGCCTGTTTTCGGGGCCCCGGGCTGCGCGTTTTGGCCCTCGAACCCTCGTTTTGCATCGGTTAGGGTTATTTTTTGGTATGGACCCTATTTTCATTGTTTGGAAGGTGGTACTATAGTGAGAGACCAGTAATTCTTTTGGAAACCATTTTCTCTCTCCTTCAGCCATTTTTCTTGACAGAAAGCTAGTTTTTCTCACTTTTTGGCCATAATTTCTAGTTTTTCATACCCCCATTGTGTTGTGCTCATCTGGGAGGCCGCCAATATGGGTAGGCCGACCAGTATTTCTTCTTGACCCTTTTGAACCTTGCTAGAAAGCTGGTTTTCCTCTCTCATAGGTTACATTTTCTAGTTTCCCACCATACAGCTGTATTTTATTCATCTGGGAGGCCAAATTTCTGGTATGGTCGACCAGCATTTCTCATTGAACCTTTTGACCCCTGGTCGGCCGACCAGGGGGAGTGGCCGGCCGACCACCTTAACTGGTCGGCCAGCCATCTGCTTTTTGCTCTCTCTGAATGCAATCCAGCTGTGTCCGCTGGGAGGCATTTGGACCATCCTTCATACACGTGTATGAAGGATATTTGAAGCTTCCAAGAGAAGCTTTGGCCTCTCTTCTCTATAAGAGAGGCCCTTCTCTTCCATTACAAAGGTGGAACTTTTTTGTTTAAGGCATACAAATACTTCCCTCCATAGCTCACTATTCCAAGCTCCAAACCCTAATATTCTTGCACCATTTGCACTACACCTCATAGCCTACCACCTCCACCATCCATCCAAGCATCGTGGAGCTGATTTTCAGAGGTTGAAGAACTCCTTTCTTGGTCTAGAGCTTGCTGCCTTGCTGCGCTACAAGGCTAAGTCTCTATTTTCCATTTTCTTGCATTATTTTGCTCCATTGTTTAACCTTATTTGCAAGCATTTTTTGACTTTGACATAAACTTAAAAGTGTCTTCTTTTGAGCTCCTCTTGAAGTTTGATTAAGGATACTTTTCTGTTTGAGGTCTTCTACCTCCTTGTATGCTCCATCCCTCTTTGTAGGCTTATTTTGCTTCCTATCTTAGCCTTGTTTTCAAGCATTTTCGAAATTTGTCATAAACTAAAAAGTGTCTTATTTTGAGCCCATCTTGAAGTTTGATTACGGGCATTTTTATGTTGGGGGTCATCTACCCCCTTGTATGCTTGTTTGCATCTTGTTTTGAGCCTTGCACCTAGGCCTTTGTTTCATGCTTTGTTTGGCCTTCTAGCCACTGAAATTCAGTGGATTTTCAGTGGTTAGCATACTATTTTGAGAGCCAAAATCAGAAAATTTGTCATAAACTAAAAAGTGTCTTATTTTGAGCCCATCTTGAAGTTTGATTCCGGGCATTTTTATGTTGGGGGTCATCTCTCCTTGTATGCTTGTTTGCATCTTGTTTTGAGCCTTGCGCCTAGGCCTTTGTTTCATGCTTTGTTTGGCCTTCTAGCCACTGAAATTCAGTGGATTTTCAGTGGTTAGCATACTATTTTGAGAGCCAAAATCAGAGGGGGGTGACCCCATCTCTCCTTGTTTTGTTTGTTGGTCCTTTTGGCCTTCCAAAGGGGCTCCTACTTGCATGTTGTGAAGCTACATTTCAGGCCCTATTTGGTGAGTTTTAAGGTCTAAATTGACTCTGTCCAGAGCCCTTTTGGCCA